GGAGGAAGGGGGGTCGGCCCGGCACTGCCTGCGGCTCCTCCGTGCCCCGGCCTCGCCGCCCCCTCGGGCGGGCACTTACGCCGGGCGCAGAGGGTCGCGAGGCGGCCTCGAGCCGGTTCGTGTGCGGGCCGAGACGGAGCCAACCCTGGATCGGGAGAGGCAGGCGCGTGAGTGAGGTGGCCCAGGCCGGAAGCCGGGGGGCGCTAGAGCAGCCTCCCTGCTGGGCTGGAGCACACGAGGGGAGGCGCAAAGCATCCTGGGATGCTGGGGGACTGCGAGTTAACTTGCCTCTGGAGGGGATCTGGGACAGACGTTCAATAAACCAATTTAATCTAAATCGGCCGAGTCTGGTGTCGGGTCTATCCGTGTTAACTTTAACTAGTTTCGGCCATTTTTTTCTAAGCGATTTATGTGCCCTTAACTTCTGGGCTAGGGACGGGCATGACACACAAACCGGTTTGAATGATCAGAAACTGGTTTAAATCTGTAACAGAACAGATGTTCAGCGCACAGAAACCAGCTTGGAAATGGCGGAAACTGGTTTGAAATGAACCTAGTTGGATGTAGTATTAGACTTAACTGATTTGGCTCAAACCAGTTTCTGATCCCTTAAACTGGTTTACGTGTAATGTCTGTCCCTAGCTCCAGTACACGATCACCCTACAGCAGGGGTGGGCCAGATGCGGCCCGCCAGGCCGCTCTATCCAGCCCACAAGGCCCCCCAAAAACTTAGAAAATGAATATTTATCTGCCCCTGGCTGCCTGTCATGTGGCCCTTGATGGCTTGCCAAAACTCAGTGAGCGGCCCTCCGCCCGAAACAATTGCCCGCCCCTGCCCTACAGTCCCTCTGTAGCTGCTCTTTCTCTTACATCAGCTCCCGCAGACACTGGGGCTAGGGACAGACATTACACACAAACCAGTTTAAGAGATCAGAAACTGGTTTAAACCTGTAACAGATGTTCAGTGCACATAACCCAGTTTGAAAATGGCTGAAACCAGTTTAAGAAACAGCTGGATGAATGTAGTATCAGACTTAACTGATTTGGGTCAAACCAGTTTATGCAATGTCTGTCCCAGACCCCTTGCTGGTTTAAGATAAGCCAGACACCCCCAGCATGCTCTGGGCTCCATCGCAGAGCTAGCCTCTCCCCTCTGCTCCCTGGCTGGAGCTCAGCACAAACTTGCAGACACAGAGCATCTACCTGGCTTTTCCCTGCTAGACAGGGATTGTTCCCCCCATCCCCTCTGCCTTACACAGACACCTCAGCGTTAGCTAGCAGACCACACGCTGGCTAAGGTCCCTGCTGTGGGAGAGGACAGAGGCAGACAAGCTTTTTGGAGCTAATGGACAGGTAGCTTAATGTCTTTCCTTGGAAGAGCTGTTTAGGAAGAGCCCCATTAATTAATGGAGAGAGGCTTTGTTTTGTTAATGAGTTGATAAACACTGAGTTAATGGTGATAAACATTCCCTGGGCAGCTCAGGAGCTCTGCTCTGGGAAAGGGAAGGGAAGGGAAAGCTGCTCTAGCACCCCCGGCTTCTAGCCTAAGCCACTGCATGCATTTGCCTGCATTTCTGGGATGTCTGTCTGGCGTACAACCTGATTTAGCCCAGTCCAGTTAGACTAACCTGCAAAGATTGAATCAATTCAGGCTCAGGCTTTTTGAATGTCAGTCCCTAGCCCTGTTGTGTTACAGATTTGAACTAGTTTATGCTCACTTACACTGGTTTATGTGCGATTTCTGTCCCTAGCTTTAGTATCTTGTCATCCTTATCAGGTCTCCCCTTAAGCGTCTCTTTTCAAAACTGAATAGGCCTAGCGTCATTAGTCTGTCCTCACATGGAAGCCCATTCCCATCATTAATCCTTGTTGACTTTCTCTAATTCTTCTATATCCTTTGGATTAGACATAGTGTTCAAGGTGTGGCTGCACTCAAGTTCTTTGTTCCTGCAAAAGTGGTAGGGAACTATCTAGTGCTCCTAGTCTGGGGGCTCGGACTAAATGATCTCTGAAAAGCCCTTCCAGCCCAAGTCCTCTGGGCTGGATTCTTGTGTCTCTTGTCACTGGTGTAACTAACCCCATCTAGCTACAAAGGTGCAATCACCACTTAAATCAACTTTGTGTCCTGTGGTAATTTGCAGCAATAAGGTAAACTGGTTGAGTTTGCCCTAAAAATGTGATCTGCTTTAGTTGTCTGCTAGACCAGTTTTTCACTTAATGCCCTGTTCCGTGAATCAGTTACATCTCTCTTAATTTAAGTTTTCCAAATTAACCAGATTTATTTATTCAGTGTCCTTCATACCAAGATTGAGCTGGATTCCTGTGCGCACAAAAGCTACATGAAATACAATCTGTTTGTGAAGGAAGATGTTGGGGGTTGCTTAAAGGGTGAAATAACATAGCCTACTATTTAGAGAACCCTTGGCCACTGGTCTAGTAGGTGACATTTGACCATTTATTTGAAAAATTCCTGCCTCAGTATCCCCATCTAAAAAGTGGAGCCATGTATTTACCTCGTAGTGTAAAGTGCTTTGTGATGTATAGATTTGAAGTGCTATGTAAATGTTTGTTGCTAAAAAAAAAAAGTTCCCACTGATATAACAGGACTACCAAAATGCACTTTTTTTCAGGTGCTGATTCTACTAATCTTCCTGTCGTGCCATTTTTATAAAATGGTTAAAGAGCTTATTGCTACAGATTTACACCAGAAAGTGGATAGATGCTTTATATACATGCCATTTAACAAAACACTATGCATGATGATGCATTTTAACAGCAACAGGCATGTTTCTTATCAAATGACTTCTTATAATACTCAAGATGTACCGATGAACCCTTCAAGAATACATGAGTCTTAACAGGTTTTGTTTTTTTTTAATCTTAAATTTTTTTTTTCCTTTTTGTATCCTCTGGTCAGCAAACTTTCTACCACCTTGGGTTTTTTGTGCTCAGATTGTTTTATTGCTAATTTTCTGGTCATTTCCCATGACTACTTATATTCCTTTAACAGAAGAAGTCTGTATTCATTCACATGTTTAAGGGGCATTCAGTCTGTAGCTGGAGAGTCCCACGCTCATGAAAATCTGCTGATATTTTAAAGGGATGTTACAACTTTCTCCTCCTCAAACCCTTGGTCGACATTACAAAATGTATTGTTTCTGAAAAGCTGAAGTGTACAGCCTTCAGGCAGAAGGAAGTAGAAAATTTCACAAATACATGTTTGTTTGTTGAGTGTCACATAGCAAGAAATGAAATGATTTAACTCAACAAGTAATGCTCAGATGTCATTAACGCTTCAAGGAAAAGCTTGTACACATGTATAAGTCTTCCAATTGTCCTCCAAGAATTAAAAAAAGCAAATGGATGCGTCTTGGGACTGTAATTTAGAACATTTACAATGTACCAGGTGATAACCCAGTGGGGAACACTAAAACTAGTGCCCAGAAGGGGCTGCACCGTCTCGGAGCATGAACAAAACCAAAAAACCCTACATACTTTCTTGCTGCCAAGTTTAACTCTCTACTAACTTTTAAAACAGATTTTCAAAGAAAATGTTTAAAAGAGCATTCCTTAACACCAGATTTACAAGGCACAAGTGCTCTATTGAGCAGAATCTGTTTATCTCAGCACCCATAAAACTAGAAAAATACCGGTGGGCTCTTCCCTGCATAGAAACTGTTCTGCACCAGTGAGTCCCAGGTGTGGTCCACCTCAAGGTTCAAGAAAGTGGCTCAAGAGGCATGCTTTAAGGTTTACAGCCTCATCTGTCATTCAGAAAATGTGTTAATAGAAAAAAAATGAAGCCACAGAGCCTTTCTTCCAAGCCTGGCACAAGGGACAAACACCCTGGTGGTCTTTATGTAGAGACTTTTTAAAGACAAGGTTGCTGGATTGATAAGTTTGTGAAAGTCTTTCTGTTGGGTAATAAACAGAATTTTATTCAGCTGGAGCTTGTGTTGTCTCAAATGTGTGTCTATAGTCCGAGTTATTTAATGGTTTACTAAAGGATCTTCAATACGCTGAAAGGAGGATGGTCAGTGGGAATTATTTGTACATGTCCTGCTTACTACTACTTACTGGAACAGCGAAACACTTGATATCCCCAGGGAACTAATGATTCGGACCATCAAATAAAAGACTAGAAAGAAAGTGTCCTCCAGGAATCAGTAACATCATCTCAAGAACTGAATCAGCATGTAAACCAGGCTCTTCTACACGACAACAGAAATTGCGACAAAGGTAAACAAACAGTGAAAAAGTGCTCCAAAATAATTAACCTGCCTTGTCAATTAAAGGGTACTAGTACCAAGGAGTATTATTTTAGTATTAGGCATCTTGAAGCAAATTCATCCCTAGAGTTGGGCAGTTGTAGTTAATCTTCTTACACCAAAGATGACTTGCCCCTTATATTTTTAGTTTTGACTTTATTCTGGAGATTTGTTTTAGTGAGTGTTGCACCCATTTTTTTTAATGTGTTATTACAG